TATATCTCAATTATATATAAAATATATATATATATATATATATATATATATATTTTAACCCTGAAACACGCATAAAATAGAACTACAGCTGTTTATAGGTCACTGGTGAGATATACCCAGACCTGGTTGTTTCATCAGGATTCCCATTGTTGGTACTTTGGAAAAACATTTCAGGAAGAAAACTGACGAGTTCCATCGTTCAAAAAATGACACTGACGAGAATATTAAATTCAACAGCATGAGTAATACATCATTCGAAAGAACTTAGAGAGAGCACACTAGTTTCAAGTTTGGATCGCGTTTGAAACAGGGTGTACAAACCGTCAAAGTGGGTGAAATTAGGCAAAATTGGAGTTTTCAAATTTTATTTTGAGTTGTTTCAAACAACGCAGGAAGTTGAAATTTAGTTCTTGAATTGGCATTGCTTTAGTCTACAACGTTACAAAAGCTCGTTATGTTGCCATGCATCCTAGTGCTCAAAATTTGCGTGCCAATTTCGGCAATATTTGCCATTTTCGAATTTGTGTAACTCACATTCACTCGCTGATGAATGTAGTAGAAAATGGACTTCATAATGCGATCATGCATTGTCTTAGCTTTAATTAGAGTCCAAACACGCTTTTCTAGCTCGACTGGGACCAAAGAGCATTTTTACCCCAAAGTTCACTTATCCTCTTAGGGGATAAGCTTTGGGCTGCATATCTCGAAAACCGTTAGAGCCAGAGAGCTAAAATTTGAAACGGTTTCATAAGTATTCGATGTCAACATGCTCAAAAATTTTTCACGCCAATCGGAGTGTGACGCGCAACCACCCCTTGACCCCTTGAGCTGGAATGCCTCCCCAAGGGTTTTATTTCTCTGCAAATATGGACCATTGATTGCATTGTCATGCATGCCTCCCTTTTTTTTGCTTTAACTGAGATTGAAATTGTTGCTGTTCCCTTGCTTGTATTTTTGAATAGGTCACATGACACGTCACTAATTAATGTGCTAATTGATATCACTTCATTGTACTGCGCATGATTCATGGTGTACTGTACAGTGGTAAGGATGTTCAAGAGTTTGCCTTTGTAGAAATGGGGCAGTTTCTACATGATTGATATCTGTGTTTGAAAGTCATCTTCCCCTCACTTCTGATGTGAAGATGAACTTGAAAAATACTCTCTTCCTGCAGAGGGACAACTGCCCGATAGAATGAGAATGAATTGAAGGGCTGAAGGACAAAGTGGTCTATCTACAAAAAATATCCGAATAAAGTGTTGCTAGTTTTCCATTAGTAATACCTTGTTCATTTCATAGAAAATTATAGTTTTTTGGAAACAAGTAAAGGATGAAGTGTTCTATCGACACATATCATTTTCCCTCACTTTTAACATGAATGTCACTGGAATTTTCACTCATTCTGTGTGGAGCGTCGGGAAAGAAATGTTTGCACTTTGCCTTTTAGCCTTTCAATTAATCTCAAAGGCTAGCTTCGCAGAGGCACATTGCGTTTATGGCACAACAGGTTGATACAACAGTGGTCTGAGGCAGTCGGGTCAGGAACTTGGTGGTCACCTCTTTCAGGTCTCTTCAATGAAGTGAATGTGAGATGAATCAAGCAAAATTTCATTGAGGTAGAAATTGCTAAAACGGTCCGAATACTTAGGTTGAAGTGGAGATCTCAAGGAAGCAAGAGGATAATAGGGCATCCAAGCCCTTCATTTGTGATTTGAATACCTAATAGAATGCGTAGACCATGCTGGGAGTGAGCGAGTAAGAGAGAGAGGACGCGAGTTTCCTCATGAGTAAGTGTCTTCTTCCGAGGGTGATACCTACCTCTTGCGATGTGGAAACAGTCGCCCGGTTCCTCATCTACCGTGCAGAATACCTTGCTCCAGTGACGTGTCCATTACTAGGAGACTCAATGGCCTTCACGTATTTTCATTATCTTTCCGTAATAGTACTAAGAGGGATCAGGAACAGCATGCATCGAGTCAGAACCATGTTGCTCGAGGCACTAGCTATTTTATTGCCTAGGGATTACGTTCCCTATCGACGTCGAATCATTATGATCGTTCTCGAATTCATTCGTATTTCTTAGAAAAAAGTATTTTTCTATGAAGGATATGAGGGATTGGGACCATTAATCGATTTTAGTCTTGATATGAGTGCGTTTCGTGAGTATGAAGAGCAGCAACTCTCTGAAATCGCGATTAGTCGTGAAAAAATGTTATTAGCGGAAGAGCTGCAGGAAATCAGCCCAGAGTAGATCCAGTATCGCGCATTTTCGCAAAAGAGAGATGGGGACAGAACATTTCAGGAAAGAATCATGAAACCACTCTCTCCACGAGTCTCATATGGTGTTCTGGGGAATGCGAAATTCAATGGCGCGAGTGAACGGCGACGCATCTCGACGCGAGTGCTAGTAGCCTCCGGCTGGGAGGGAACGACCCACGCCCTTTCTAAGGGGGAAGCAAGGACAAGGCCGAGGGATGATCAACCCATGCATCTGCATCTCGGTCACGCAATACCCATACCAGCTTTATTTACTTCGCATCCCCGATGCTCGCGTGAGGAATGTGAAGGTCACATCCTCATGCGTTTCATCTATAAGAGCCGACGCTTCTTCTTTAATTGTTTGTCCGCCAGAGGCCTACACTGGTCGAGTTCTGCGGGCCCGACTGCCTTGATCCGATTCGAGTCGTGGCCCGCCCTGGACCGAAGTCTCTATGACCGAGCTTTACGTGCTCTACGATCGGCCAGGCACACAGCTCGCTCAGGCTCTAAGCTTCAGAATTCTCTGTCCCTGAGGACGTACTCGCCCGCATTCGACCGCGGGAATAATCGCATCGGTTCAGTCGAGCCGATCTGTTCCCTTGTCAGCTCATAATCATCCTTTGTTCTTCATCCAATACCCGGGCATTAGCAAATCGAATGACGCGTTTCACTTAAATGCTAGGGGGTAGAACTCTACGAAGAGTTCCACCTGGGCCAATCGAGTTCCCCTGATGACGGAACGCATCCTATTATTAATCCAATGTGTGGTTATTCTTAATTAGAACTCAGAGTCTCTGGAGAATGCTATGAGGAAACCCGCTGAAAATCGTTATGAATAAATTTTTCTGGTTTCGATCCTAGAAGTCCATTAGCCTCTAGGAGGAAGACGTGAATATTTCCCAGTCTGATTATATGTCCGAAGCCATATAAGCCATATCTACAGGGTGGTTCAATACTTACCTGCACTTTTCATTCCAGAAAATCTACGGTACATCTGATCTCCATCATACTACGCAAAATTCTCGAGGTTTTCCCCTCCCACACGGACGTACCTGTCTCACCTCTTTGGCAACGCCTGAACGCCGAACGTGGTCGAGTGCGCAGCAATTTCATTCCTCTGAATTCCTTCGGCCGAGACGATGTGGGTCGTCGCCTCTTGCATCTCTTCAGCGTTTTCATACTGACGTTTGATGATGAATCCACATTTCATCACTCATCAAAATGCAGTTCAGGATGTTGTCTTTCTCTTGGTCGTAGCAGTTGAAGTGGTCCGACGAGGCGCTCACTCTGTCAGGCTTCTTTTCGATAGTCAGTTTTATTGGCACCTATCTCGTAGTTACCTCTTTGAACTTTAAAGTGAGTGTGGATTATGTTTCCGACACTCCCAATGTTAATGCTTTGTTCCGCTGCAAAATCATGCACGGTGACACGACGATTTTCCAGAATGAAATTTGCGATTTTGCCGGATATTCACAGGATTCGCAACAGTCTCGGACGGACGGCCACGCTCAAAGAATTGAGCAAAATTTTTTTGCACGATCAGATACGCATCTCCTCTTCTACAGTAGACAGTCCCTCCCCGAACTGTGCTTGTCATCTTGGAAAAGTATCAGCCTCCATCCCTTTCTCTTTCCCGTGAAACTTTATTACACAATGCTGTTCAACCCAGGAGGACATACCATCAGACGCCATGCTCTTCGCACTCAATTGCGCATTCGCAAGGGTTGGAAATCATATTGAAGATTGGGGCTATCTGCCATATTAGGCTTTCAGACTTTTTTCTATCTTACATATTTTCTAGAATAGAAAGTGCAGGTAAGTATTGAACAACCCTCGTAAAAAGTCTATATCTAACGTGTACTAATAGTATCGCTCCTCTGAGTATGGAGTTGCGCTCGCGATAAGTTGAACTCTTTGCAGCGAAACATTATTCTCACGAAGAAGAAAGGACGAGCTTCACATTTGGTGCTTAGGTCGGCATTGAGATGCATCGCCTGTTGACATCCGTGCACGAAAACGATGACCTCAGGCGTGCGAGAATATACAAGTCGTTTTGTCGCCGTAAAGACGACCGGAAGTCGGTCTCGCACTCGCTTCNGGCACCATTCCTGAAATCCCTGTCTTTCCAAGCCCATTGCCTTGCCGTACGTGCAAAAAATGAACAAAATTGTTGATTGTTTCTTAGTTAAGATAGGATAGTCAAATGATTGTTTCTTAGTTGAGATAGGATTGCTATGAAACAATGCTTCATTTACATCATATTCATGTTGCTGCTAATACTTATGCCTAAGCCAGTAATGTTGAGAATACCTTAACGCGTTTGAGCGGGCCGTATTAGCCATTGAGAAGGGCGATCAAGCGAGGAATGCGAATCGCAGTGTCTTAGAATGTAACAGGAAGTTTTATGCTGCGAAGTTGTTGGTCTAAATAATTCATTAAGGGATGGCAGAAGGGGAAACCGGGAGGATTCTTAAAATATCCGAACAGAACAGAGAATATGCAATATTTGAACAAGTATATATATATCCAGTAAACTTTGAACATGTCCTAATGGGGTTGAAGGCAGGAATAATCCACTTTTTAATTAGAGCATATACATATCAGCAATAGTGTATCAACATGTATATGTTGTAATTTTCTTAATTGTTCAGGCTTAATTGTCCGCAAATGAAATTTTTTTTGTAGCAAATTTTTGCTAATTCCCACACATCTGACTTTTGGATGGCAGAGAGCAGCGCAAAATGACAAAGTCATCATATACACCATATACTGATCATATACATCATATTTATCATATACTGATCATATACATCATATCATATACTGATCATATACATCATATTCATCATATACTGATCATATACATCATATTCATCATATACTGATCATATACATCACATATACATCATATACTGATCATATACTGATCTCCATATGTTATGAACACTAGGCAATGTGCCACTTTCTTCTTGAAAATATTATCTTCTCATATGCAATAAACTTCAAATTTTTTCTATCCCACTGGTAATTTTGAATACATGATTCTGTCATTGTCTTGCGTCCAACTAAACTTATGAAATTGCATGAGTAAAGTGATGGCAGGCATTTAGTAATGCAATACCTTTCACATCAGTCTACACGATATTCACATTTTTCGGCGATGCCCGCCAAAGTAGCAGTTACTTACCCTAATATGTATGATTATATGTTTCTTGCATTTCTTTTGTGAGGATTGCATCTCAGCTCTTCACCGCCTGCTTTGCAAACTACTATGTGATTCTCTGTACTAGAAGTGTCATGTACTGATTGTGGAAGTGTCATGTACTGAAGTGTACTGGTTGTACTAGAAGTGTCATGTGACATCTGAGCGTGGGTTCTTACTCAGTGAAAATCTAGGAGGAATAACCCAGAGGACATCTGCACCAACCAAGAATTTCCGAAATGATTTTTGCATTGGCATTCTCCTTCTCTCTACTCTCCTTGCTTTTTGGGCCGACCGAACAGATATGTCCCATTGAAAAAATACTACCGTGTGAGTGCTATACGAAAGATGAAGTCAAAGTTATTGTGGATTGCTCGAAAGCCACAACAAGTGAGGAGATTTCATCGGCTTTGAAAAGCGCCACTTGGCTCACCACTCGACTGTGGTAAGTGAGAGCTCATTGAAATTTTCCGCTTTCCGTAGTCTGACTCAAACGAAAATATGCATGCATCAATCCTGGAACTACAGGCTGGCTTTTGGAATATCTCTTACTAGCGAGTTTGTTTGCCATTCGGGCAAACAAACTCGATACTCGAACTGGTCGCGACTTCGGCGCTCCATTACCTTGGATGTTGATTAATTCTTTAGTTTTTTTTTCGAAATGGGAAGTATTTAAAGTACGTCCCCATTGAAATACGTGACATATGGGGTCGAAAGACTTGATTTTTATCAAACTATTTACTTCTCTGATTCTGTGTGCATAACTTTAAATCTTTCCTTGTGTCCCTTTTGGTAAGGGTGGAGAATACATTTTGAAAAACTTACCTCTAATAATCTACACTAAGGAGACATATTTCAAAAGTAGGATTTTTCCTGTACTCAGCCATTAAACAGGTACTTCTGAGGGACGTTTATATTTTCTGTTTGATTCGTTGGATCCAAAAAAAAAATCAGGAAAATGGGACTTAAAAAAAAGAGCCCTGATGGGTTTTAGCAAAAAAAATTTTTTCTTCTGAAATGGAGACTCAGAAAACTCCATGCCTCCCAGTTTCAGTCTGATACGTTTCCCCTTTTTCGTCTATATATATTACAAATGTATATTTTTTTCTTTACGCAGCTATCCATCAGGCACTTATTTGCCAAGTGTTTTATGATTGCATGCGCCCTGTTTTGCTGGATCAGAAAATTCGTGAAAATACGCCTTTTGCAAAATATGTGCCCTGAGCCGTTTTAACAGAAACGTACCATTTTCTTCTTACCGAAATCTATTCTCAGTGCCCAAAACATGCCCAAAACGTTTCAATATTATACGTTTGCCCTTTTCGCTGGAGAAAAAACATGTTTCAAAAAGCCAACCCACCCTAACGCTATGCCCGGAGGGGATGCACCATAAAAGCTGAATACTCCCTCAGTTCAGTAATATCATGTTACATACGTGTGCCAAGTTTCACCTTTCCATTTCTGTCCAATTCGCCACGACAATTTTTTTTTCAAAACATCGCACTTCGAAAAAATTTCCCCAGGGAATGTATCGTGACTTAACATTTTCATTTAACTCCTTGTAATGTCCCATTGAAAAAATACTACCGTGTGAGTGCTATACGAAAGATGAAGTCAAAGTTATTGTGGATTGCTCGAAAGCCACAACAAGTGAGGAGATTTCATCGGCTTTGAAAAGCGCCACTTGGCTCGACACTCGACTGTGGTAAGTGAGAGCTCATTGAAATCATTTTCCGCTTCTCATTTTCCGCTTTCCGTAGTCTGACTGAAACGAAAATATGCATGCATCAATCCTGGAACTACAGGCTGGCTTTTGGAATATCTCATACTAGCGAGTTTGTTTGCCATTCGGGCAAACAAACTCGATACTCGAACTGGTCGCGACTTCCGCGCTCCATTACCTTGGATGTTGATTAATTCTTTAGTTTTTTTTCGAAATGGGAAGTATTTAAAGTACGTCCCCATTGAAATACGTGACATATGGGGTCGAAAGACTTGATTTTTTTATCAAACTATTTACTTCTCTGATTCTGTGTGCATAACTTTAAATCTTTCCTTGTGTCCCTTTTGGTAAGGGTGGAGAATACATTTTGAAAAACTTCCCACTAATAATCTACGCTAAGGAGACATATTTCAAAAGTAGGATTTTCCCTGTACTCAGCCATTAAACAGGTACTTCTGAGGGACGTTTATATTTTCTGTTTGATTCGTTCTATTCAAAAAAAAATTCAGGAAAATGGGACTTAAAAAAAAGAGCCCTGATAGGTTTTAGCAAAAAAATTTTTTTCTTCTGAAATGGAGACTCAGAAAACTCCATGCCTCCCAGTTTCATTCTTATACATTTCCCCTTTTTCGTCTATATATATTACAAATGTATAATTTTTTCTTTACGCAGCTATCCATCAGGCACTTATTTGCAAGTGTTTTATGATTGCATGCGCCCTCTGTTTTGCTGGATCAGAAAATTCGTGAAAATACGCCTTTTGCAAAATATGTGCCCTGAGCCGTTTTAACAGAAACGTACCATTTTCTTCTTGCCGAAATCCATTCTCAGTGAACTACATGCCCAAAACGTTTCAATATTATACGTTTGCCCTTTTCGCTGGAGAAAAAACATGTTTGAAAAAGCCAACCCACCCTAACGCTATGCCCGGAGGGGATGCACCATAAAAGCTGAATACTCCCTCAGTTCAGTAATATCATGTTACGTACGTGTGCGAAGTTTCACCTTTCCATTTCTGTACAATTCGCCACGACAATTTTTTTTTTCAAAACATCGCACTTCGAAAAATTTTCTCCAGTGAATGTATCGTGACTTAACATTTTCATTTAACTCCTTGTCTCAGTTGTCACATCCATGCCAAGTTTCAGCTTTCCATGTCTCTTCGTTTTACTCAAGCAAAGATGATGTTATGGAGAGGGAATGAATAACAGGACATGGAAGACAAAAAAAGCCAAAAGGTAGCCAAGGAATGGCCAGGAATTGAACCCGGACTGCCAGTCAGATATGCTACTACTACGCCAACGAACCCAGCACATCCAGTTAATTCTCTGAATGCCTTCCTCATCTGTCACAAAATATATTTAAGAAAAACGTTTCCCCCTAATGTGTGTACCCCCAGGGCATGTTCCTCCAAAGTCGGATTTTTTCTGAACTCTGCATCCCAAAATATAAATATGTACCAAGTTTCAGATTTCCAACCCTCACTTTCTGGAACATATTTTTAATTGAACGATACAGAGAAATAAAAAGTTGAAACTTCACGCAGAAGTAGACTGCTGAGTACAGAAAAAATCATACTTTAGAATTATGTCCCCTTAATGTGAAATATGGCAGGGATTTAGTATTTCAACAACTATTTTTGCCTCTGAAAAATGGGGCCTCTTATATAAATTTGATGATATGCACACAATAAAGAATTGGAATACGACTTTAATAAAAATCAAAATTACGTCCCCTCATGGCTCCGTACTTCCACATAGACGTGCATTAACCCTTTCCTCCATTGTGTCCACTATAGTGCACTAAAACATTACTGGTCATTACGGTTCCTTTTTAGCCATAGTCCACATGTCATTATATTTTTAGCGTAGTCAACATGAGGGCACATAATCTGTTCAGTGCTGCTTTCTAGCGGTGATACATGCAACTACTATGGCAGCGTACTTCTATAAACGTTGAATGAAAAAAGCCTATTTTTGATTTGCTTCAGAAATTCATGCAGGAAAGGGTTAAATTTGGTTTCGCAACTTTAAACAATCTTAATTATCGAAACCTGACATTTCATACACAAATGAGACTCAATATTAATCATGGTAACGCCTTCAGTTGCAAGGTTTATACAAAATTACATTTAAGAAAATAGAATTTCCTACAAAAAAAACATTTTCACTGTGAGAAGTTTCGAAGTTAAGAAAGAGATAAATTATAGGAGAAAAGTCAGAAAAGCAGTACATCTCCGCCAACGTCAGCTCCCACTAGAATTTACATTCCCCTCTTAATGAAACATGTAATTTTGAAAAAATAAAATCTAAATCCTCGTTCACAAGAAATCTCGATATCCCGAGTTTCTACACATATTGTAAAAGAGATTGCTTCAAATCCAAGCAAGTCCCGCACTGTTTCCCTATTTGCATTATTCCATTAATGAATGACTTCATTGAGGTCACCCCTAAGAAGCGTTTCATTCTTTTTTTTTCTCATAATAGGGAATTCCGCATAGTCAACGAACCGAAATTCATGGATGAGTACATCCCAGCAGGAATCTTTGGAGGCCTTACATTTCAGGATGTGGAAATAAGTTGGCACCATCCACCATCACACCAGTCTCAGCGCAATGCATTTCCCCTTAAGAAAATCCCCCCTATGGCAATCCTTCCATTTCAAAACAGTCTAGTGAATCTCACCATTCAATCTGGGAATTTAGAAGACTTCCCATTCCATAGTCTTCATGCATTCAAGTTTCTGAAATATCTCGACCTCTCCTGGAATTCAATAACTTCAGTCCCAACCCTCAAGAGCGAGAGCATCTTGATACTGCATCTTCGGAATAACAAGATTACTCGATTGGAGCGAGACGGATGGGAGACTCCGAACTTGAAGGAACTTGACCTCTCCTCGAATTCCCTGACCTCTATCCCAGCCCTCAAATTTGGCAGCCTTGA